GGTGAAAAAAAAAAGGAGCAAATGCATAGTAAACACGAGTCCATATAAATAATTCATGAGCACGTTTCAAAAGTTTCACAGGCGATAATCTGATTAATCAATTATAATACCGACTGGAATTACGAACATCATAGAAACAAGAGTGAACATGATTGTTTTTTTTGGAGTAACATGTCACAGGGTATACATTACGCGTTCCTAGCGGACAGTGTTATCGATCACGCAGTCGTGTAATTTCGAAATAATTAATCGCGACCAACCTCCATTCTTTTCAGTTTCTCTGCGCTTGTTCTCCCCTTCTCTATGAGTTCTGCTATTCAGATGAAAACACCGAATTTCTGCAGTTAACGATAATTTCCGAAACAGAGAAATCAAGTGCCGTGGAGTGATTTCGTGGCGTTTTTTCGATCCGTGAAATCCTTGTCTCGTATCGAGCGAATATTAAGTAATCTCACTGTTAGCCGTTTGACCTGTCACTGCTACTGCACTCCTACTCTTCCGACAAATTTTAGTCATGGCGTGGAATACAGCAAACAGAACCACGGTGTTTGTATATGAAGGATCTCGAGAGCGCGCACCTTCTTCGCCGGTTTATAGCCGCGGTCGTTCAATGGCGGAGATTTTAGGGCCAGTTCAAACGCAACTCGACGAAATGATCAATAATGCTGTTAAAATTGAAAAACAGAAAGGCATAACGTATGTTTCGCACATCGATATACGCGTGCATTTAACGAATTCATCATTTTATTTAAAAAGTAAAACCGAATGTTCTTCAAATTGTACACAAGTTTTTCTAGTGACATTCGCTCGACGTGTCGTGCACGTTGGTACGACTGAAAGAGAGCGAAATCCGATTTGAACGTTGACAATTGACGAGCTGCGGTCAATGGAATTTTTTAAATCGACATTTAAGGAAAAACTGACTCATAGGATGAACGAGGTTGTTGCATTGGTAAATGCAGAATTTTTTATTTGCAAAAAAGTGTCTTAACAATCAATACATGAAAATTATAACAGCAAAATATATTATTCATGAACTAAAGTCACCTGTATAAAATTTCAGAAAGACTTGTTTTAGCTTTGGATAACCTATGTTTGGCGATGATGAAGTTGTACAGTATGGAACAATCTACTGAATATGATTATACAGGCAATTCACTTATTGCTTCTATCTAGTTCACTATTACTACCTAACTACTAAAGTATGTTGGTTTGTACTATTGCCCTTAAAGTACTTACAATACGCTTTCGAATGCTGAATATCAAGCTTTTTAATTTATGATATTATTATTTCGAGAATACTAATATTCTAATTAATGTTATGTATCAAAATAATTTTGCGTTGAAACTCGTATGAATATATGTGTTACACATATGTATATTTTTAAGTACTACTGATATCAGTCGTTTAGATAATACTGCTAGTAAAGACTTTCAGTCTTATGATAACTTGGTTTATTGTTATATACCGATGTGTATATTAACGTAAAAGGAACTAACTGAATGAAGATTATGAGCGAAGAATGGAAATACTTTTTTTACGCGATCTTATCAAAATATAATGTACCTTATGTAAAATATATTCACAGATTGGAACATACTTGCATAGTCATACATTCTGGGGTTTGATTATTCTGATTAATGTTCTGTGTTAATCCGTTACAACCAGCATCCGCAGTAACTGGTAACACTGGTGCATATTGCATGTAATGCGGTTGTCCAGCAACTGCATACCAATGTTCTTGCATGTTCTGAGGTGGTATACTATATGGGGCTGGTTGAGGACATATGTATGGGGGGCACATGCCAGAATAAGCTTGTGTGTAATCTATTCCCTGGCATAGATGTGGCGAGAATGGTTGCACATTGCTGTTGTCGGGTATATCAGAATGCGGTAGGCAAGGTATTGGGAAGAATCCTGGATTCGGTGCATAATAAGGATTCGCGAATGCTTCTGCCTCATTAGCATAATATGGCATACCAGAATATACGCCTTGTTGCATGTAAGACGTTTGATACGAGTTCACCGCAGCAGTTGCAGAACCGTGTACCTGATAAGGAACTACTCTTGATGGTTGAACACTTGCGCTATCACCCTTCATCTCTGGCGATTTTGAAGATTTCGAATTTGAACCACAATGTGGGTACTGGTTACTTGATTGCGTAAATTGCGAAGCGGTACGATATCGACCTGAAGAGCAAACAGTATGTTTGTTAAGTTATAGTTAATACGAAATGTTCCATTTACAGAGACTGTTAAAAGCTTCTGCTACGTACCGTCTGAACTTTTCTTAAATCGTGGACCCAAACTATTCCTATTTAAACGGGATGAGTCTCTGTTAACTGATTCTTGATCTTTCACTTTCTCACGTGGCGAATACGACACATCTTTTCTGTTGTCCGTCTTCGGTGGTTCCGCCCTTTGAATTTGCATATCTTTGGCACGATTCACGCATTTCTCCCCGCTTTCTTGAGAGAACGATTGACTGCTGTTCTCGTTCTGGTCGATATTATTTTCTTGTTTCCCTTGTGTCAATGTGCAATGTTGCATCACACCATTCGAAATGTTCGTAACTTCGTCCTCGCTTTGCGGCATATCTTTACAACAGATACATTCCCGATTATAGAGTGTAATGCTGCATGCATTGTGTTTACATAAATCCAGAAGTTAACGTACCTTGGTACCATTGCTCAAAATCGGCCGACTGTTCATTGGTCAAATAATTCCAATTGTTGCTCCCGCGAAAACATTCTAATCCTAAGTTATAAAAAAATCTCAAAGTAAATGGATCTATAAGGAAAAAATATAATATGTAAACAGAATAATTATGTTGTATGTATACAAAATGATTTTTACTTATACCTGATAATGGTAAATCGCTACCGTTTACATCGACACTTTTTTGAACCGAGCAATTAATGGAACGCAACATATTGTCCACTTGAGTCACAGAAACAGGTTCCCCTAAGAATTTATCAATTACTGAAAAAATAATTTTAATCAATCAAGTGATTAATTTTTCATTACATACCAGAATACGAGGGGTAGTAATTTTCATTTTGCGTTCTTTGGTTCGAGTACGAGTTAAATCCGGTATTATTGTCAGAGTTCATCACGTTATCAGGTTTAGAATTTTGTACTGAATGCTTTTCAGCATTCTTTTTTCCGAATGAATTTTTTTCTTTGTGTCCTTTAGCGTTTTCTGGTTTGGTAACATCCACTCCTAAAGACTGAGTATTATCAAGATTCATTCTTGAAGGGAACATTTCAGTAGAAGTAGAATAATTTGTATATTTTTCCATTCCATAGTTTTCGTATGCTTGTGTATGTTCTATTTTTCTATATTAGAAGGAAAATTTGTTACTTAATATATTATATCATTAGTCCAGATATACATTTCATGTAACATGAAAGAAACACTTACAAACTTCCTTCTTTCCAATCATTATTTTTATTAACTTCATTACTGCAATTGTTATTATTTCCATTTTTGTCAATATTACCTGGTGAAATATTTCCATTTGAAATTGACTGTTTGACTTTTCGCGAGGTTCCACTGTATGGCTTTTTCCATTTCTGATCTAATAACATGTGAAATAAGCTTTTACAAATAAGTGTATGTTTTGATTGTCTACGTATTTTTTTAATTACTAACTTGTATCTAAAAGTACATTTCTTTTGCATACTGGTAGCCAATTGTTTTGTTTACTTTTTTTTAAGGGTAGTGGCTTAAGAGCAAGATATGGCACTACTTTCTTCTCCCCCAATTCTTCGATGAAAACTAATACAGGGCCCTGATTTTTACTCATTTCTTGAATATGACCGTAAAGAAATATAGGATCTTGTTTGTCTTTTTTTTGTAATGCTTTTGTGTCATTGCAGTTAACATCATTTTCAAGCGAAGACACACAGATATTATTATTGTTAGCTTTGTCAATGTCTTCCTCATTAAAATTCATTTGAACTAAACATTTACCGCCAACTTGTAATTCATTACTGTTGTGTCTTGTCCACCCTGCATTTTTTACTTCTAAATGATTTAAATTACTGTTATCATCTTGAATACACTAATGCAATTGTAATATAGACAGAGCTATGTTACCTCTCCTAATTTCATGCCATATATCAAAGTCAGTATTACGATAAATATTAGGGTCAAGGGCTTTTGCGACTCTATAAGGAAACGGTGGTATATTTTTTACAATGCCCTGTGCATCATCCACCTCATCATTTCCATTGTCAGCTTTATTGTATATTTCTGCAGTCAATTGACTAAACAGGGATAAAGTAGCTTTATGGTATTTTCCTGTTTGGTTATTAATGATTCAAGTATTAAAAAACTTACTCTCGTAGTTCTAGATTGCCTTTAAGAAAAAATTTGTCATGTCTGAAAGTAGCAGTTCTATCATGTAACATTTTATGAACTGTTGATTCTATGTTGGCCATGTTAAAGACATCCTTATAAAGTATTTGATAAACAATAGCTGTAAATCAACATGTAGATTATAATATGATTGTGATTATTTTGATGATTCAATGAAAAGGACTAAACAAGTATGGTTCTTACATTGGCAATAGGCAGCCGATGCAACAAAATCTTGTGTGTATATACTTTCATACTGTTTTTGCGGGGTATGGCACAAATAGATTGCATCTTTGAAACCATTGTTAGTAACATTACGTTGGATTTGCTTCTGACCATTAAATATAACAAATTCCCTTTTGTACAACAACGACATAGCTTGAATTTCGTTCATACCACCCCATTCAGTAAAACACGCCATTTGTTCTAGGTAATCTTCAAATGGAATCACTATATTCTAAAAAAAATAATTTTTTAATGCAAAAACGTAATTAACTGGGAAATAAATATATCAGTCTACCTCAAAAAACGATTGTTTCAATTCTCTCATAAATTCCACACATTCTTTCCTGACCCTGAGATGGTAATGTTGCGTCGTGTAAATTTGTTCACTGACTGCTCTAAACAAACAAGTTGGATCTCTAGGTGCATGTTTTCTAAAATATCCTTTAGTCTGCAGCCATTCGTCGACGGGTTCTTGTGCACGTTTCGACGGCTTTCTGGGAGATATTTCCATCTTATTGCACTGAAGCATCCGAGAAAAAACTCTGGCTTTGAATTCATTCGCCGATTAAATAAAATCAAGATTACTGAAAATTATTTCTAGCTATTTGTTTATTAAAGTTTAATAATCCTAAGTAATAGACGAACTTTTTCCGTCCCTTTCTCGTGGCAAGTACGTGAAACCATGAATGTAAACATTCAAACATCATAAAATCCCAATTAACATTCTTAAATAGATTTGATAACAATTAGGGACACGCGAATAACACAGAAGGACATTACTGTTCGTCTTCAATCGTGAATTGCTAATTTGAAAATAAACAACAAAAAATAAGGTTTAGTTTGATAAAAATATATATTTGTACCTGTTTAGAGAGGAACTAACGATATATTGTTCGAAGTTCGTTCGAGCAAAGATCGTCAATCGTAACGTTTTAAAATAAACAATTTAACTGTTACTTCGCACCTGTGATAGGCAGCATGGCTACCAAAGGACTAGCAACAAGTCCTTTCTCACGAGGTTGCTATTAGAATCAATTTCCTCAAGACTATTGGACGAAAACGACTCGTCGACCAATCATAAGTCGTCATTCCGTCACTTTCTGACTTGGTTTCCATTGGAAAAGGACATTACCGTCGTCAGCTAATAATGCCCTGACTGACAATTTTGTCTTTGTTTGAACTTCGCGCGCCAGTTCAAACGAAACTCATACTCTAAGCACTTGGAGAAAGTGGGCGTCATAAGAATCAGTAGCTTTCATCTGTTTTTTTTTTTACAAATTACTTTTTTATTCGTCATAATTTTTATCGGAATGACAATGCGATGTGTACGAAATATTAAAAAAGTACAATAGCCCGTTTATATAAAATATGATTTTTACACAAATATAAGATCAACCGCTGTACCATTGCGATATATCTGTAACACATGCAATGCTACCCAATTTTGTTGCTATCGAAAATAACGTTCGTCTGGCGTGCAGAGCTTTTCTTAGTATAAAAAGTACATCCTTTGGCGAGTTAGTATATAAAGACGGATGCTGATACAAGCCCAAAATGCTTAGATCGTTGGTAACGTTAGGAATCGAACCGGT